AAGCTCTTGGTGGGCACCACACAGGCATAGAGTGTGGCACTTGAGTCCCCAGGGAGCTATCTAAGGCCTAAGAGTGTCCATCCCCTTGGAATGTGCTGGGCCCTGAAAGTCTGCGTGGTGTCACTTACGCAATGGATGGTGGAATCAGACGGCATCCTTGGGCTGCGGTAGAGAGAGATAACGGTCTCACTCAGGTAGACCCAGACCTGGAAAGAGCGCAGTTCGCATGGCGTGGCAGCCACCAGTGCCTGTGGCTGTTATACGTTTAAACTAGCTGGGACGAAAGATTCCATGCCTCAGTCACACCTGCCACTTTTTAAGTACTCAATGACCACCTTGCTGACCACCGGCCCCCTTGCCGGGCAGTGCAGACACATTATCTCTCATGGCAGAATGCTCCAGTGGGTAGTGCTGGTCCACAACCTTGCAGAAGTATTTGCAAGTGAAACTGATCCCAGGGGGAAGTGTGTGTGCCTGGGCCCGATGTCTGCTCTTCCTTCCCCAGCTGCGTTTTCATGCAAATCTGGGAGAGGCCCAGAGCCCTGTCCCTTCCCGCAGAGGCCCCTGGGGAAGCAGGAGAGAATGATGTCTTTCACCCAGGTAGGTGAGTTGGCCGTGAGTGTCCCAGCATGACTCTTGGCGCAGGAAAAATGCTCTGAATCCAACAGAATCCGGCCTCACCACCCCCTGGATGCCACAGATCCGTAAATGTGTCGTTATAGCAGGAAACAGTGTGACTTTCCACCGCTGCTAGCTTTGGGAGGCTTGGATTCTCTGCTTAGCTTCCTGTTTTACTTCTCTCAGACTTTCAGACACGGGATTCCTGTGATGCTCTGGGCTCTCAGCTTTGACAGCCTTCCCTATGGCCAGAAAAAAGCCTTTCTGGTTCTCTTTGCTCCACCTTGGCCCACATGTTTGACTTGCCCCCCAACTCCAAGCCTGCTGGTGTTGTCTTTGTATTTGTGTATGTATTTTTTTTTTTTTTTTTGGGCGTGAGGATGAGTGACTCCTGTCTCACTTAAAGGTTGTGTCTGGGAGGCGTGTGGTTTACCCAAGGCTGGAACTGGGGACAGGGCTACCGGGGTGTGACATGGGTGATGCTGAAAAAATTGAGATGGGATCTGGGAGCGGGTCACTGGGCCTGGGGCTGCCTTGGGGGCCAGAAGCCGTGTCAGCATCTGGGTGGCCATGTTCTCCAGAGGGCCAGGGAGTGCCTCTGGGCTGAGGGCCACAGCCCCGTCCAATCAGACAGTCAAATTGATGCTTGCTGGGTCTTCCAGTCTGGATTTGGAGCAAGTACCTGGTGATGACATTCTTCAGAAGGGAAGGTTGGTGGCAGTGGCCACCAGCAGCCCACAAACTGCCCATTTTACAGATGTGAAAGGGCAGGAACACAAGTCCTGAGAGTCAGTCAAGGTCCAGCAGGATTCCTTCTCCAATAGCTCTGCTCCTTCCCCAAACCTGTCACAGAAAAGCTCAGAACTACCCAGGTGCTCTCTCTAGGGTGACAGGTTTCCCTGCCACCCTTGTTCCCAATGCTAGAACTGTTGCCTAGAAAGTCGACCTGCCCATTTTTTGTCCTGAAGTTGTTATATTGTACAGTGCTTGAGGGCCAGGCCCGGGGCTTTGTGTCCACCATGGTTTCGATGGCAGGGGTTTTGCATTCAGCTTTGCCAACTGCTGTTTAAATAAACATAATTAGGAATTGGTCCCTTTGCAGCTAGGCCCACCTGGTCTGGTGACAGATGCCTTTATTGGAGTTGTACACATTCAAAAAAATCCCCTGAGACTGCTCCCCTGCTCTACACATCTGTGGGCACCTTGTACATGCATACACTGTCCCAAGTCTCTCCTGACTGTGGTGAGGGTCGGCCTTAGCAGGAACATGAAGACGCTAAGTGTGTATTGCATGTCCACGTGGCCTGTACACCTGTCTGCAGAGAGTTTCGAGAGAAATTCACCGAGCCCCTTTTCATCTCTGTCATTAACCTTGTGCCCTGGGCCAGAGGGACAAGGACAGATGGACTCAGAAGAGGGATGGGGTGCTGGCCATCAGCCCTGGAGTGACAGTGCTGAGGAGACTAGGACCTATGCAGCCATGAGAGAGGTCCCTGTCCCCTGTCTGGGAGGATTGTCACAAGGGCATTCACCATTTCCCCGCCTTTCATGCTCACTCAGTGGCTACCCTTGGAAGCCCCCCACTGGGCCAGGAAGAAGAAAGTTCCACCAAGAGAATTTGCTTCGGTCCTGTGCCACTGCCGCATGGCATCACCCCAGCCCTGTCACCCTTCCCGTTTGTGCTTGTGTGGGCCACATTGCTAGCAACCGTGTTGGGTCCAGGGGACCTTGAAATCAATTTAGGTGGAAGAGGGAGGAGTCTTCTGCGCTTTCTTCTCCTGGGAGGGGAGAGATGGTTGCATCTGAGGGAGTTAGATGCAGTAGCTAAACTCCAGGCATAATTATGCCACTCAGTGCATGTTCCCAGAGGGAAGGACAGCTGTTGCAAAGAATTCCCACCAGAGCATCAGGGAAAGTCTCACAGATCAACTAGTCATTAAAGACCTGCCCTCTGGGGCCCTGGCTCAGGGCAGGGTTTGCAGGGAAGCGAGTGGATTGGATGAAGAAAGGGCTTAGAGTTGGAGTCGGTGGAGCCTTTGGAACTAGACTGGCTCATTTCTCTTGGTCACGGAGGGCTGTTTGTGTCCACCCCTGGAGAGACCTACAGTCTTCAGTGGAAAAGAGCCCAAAGCTGCCTTCCAGGGTCTGTCTGCCGGCTCGCCCAGTTTAGGATTTGGACCCTTTGCTTCCAAGTGCCCTCTGCCAGCTGGCCTGGAGAGAGGGCAGTGTCCCAGCTGAGGCTTCTGCCCAAGCCTGACTGTCCCCAGATGGCCCTCAGGGCTCTCGTGCTGCTCCCTATATCCACTGTTTCTCAGAAGTAAAAGAGGTAGCACTTCCCGGGACGGTCCTGGAACATCCCACTGTGTTCTGGGCTGTTGCTGAGGAGTGGGCATCAGGGTGATCCCAAAGGTGAAGAAAGTGACGGTCACCAAGACCAAGGCCCCTGGCTCATTTCTAGCTGTCCATTCTGGGGATTCTGCAGGGTGGCCTCCAAGCACCAGGCCCCGGTGCCTTGAAGGAACTTGCTGGGGTCAAGTTGAGGGTTGGCGGGGACAAGCCAGATTCATCCACTCCAGGGTTTTCTCCAGAGCTTGACCTAACTGTCAACTCACCTCTCCAGCCAGGTGCCCTTCCTAGGGAAACAGCAAATTGATTTTCCCAGTACTTTGATTCTAATGGCCAGGGAAGAAGCCCAAGTGGAGTGAGGAAGGAGAGGTCGTAACCCTTGGCTGCAGAATTGGCTTAGATGTGCTAATAAATAACCGTGACTTGATAAGTCAAAGTGGTTGACCGGGGCTCAGCTTCTTGCCTGCCTCGTTAGCTTAGTTTGAACGTCCCCCTGAACCAGTGATTCCCTTTTTACTGTAATGGCATAGGTCTATGTTATTTTGCCGTCTTCATTTCTTACGAGATGCCAGCATTCAGGGGAATGTCCGCCGCCTCGGCACACCAGCATTCCAGGGTGCAGAAGGTGGGTCTATGGCCTGCCCTTAACCCGGGGTGTCAAGACTCAAGTAGGCGCCAGTCCCCAGGGCATAGATGTCTCCCAGACCTTCAGCCTGCCAGCTGGGAAGATTACCCAGGGCTCCTTGGAGCCTTCCTGTTTACTTTGGCCTCGGCAGCGGAGTTCTGGTGCTCACATTCTCCCCTCTCAGAGGGAGCCATGAGCTTTCATTCTTTCACAATCCTGCCTGCCGCCTGCGTGCCCCGGGTAGGAACTCCGTGTCGCCAAGGATGCCGGGAAGTCAGTGGCGGCTGAGCAGTGGATTGGTGAATGAGTGATTTGGAGGAGGTGATGCCATCTGTGGGAGGTAACTCCACAGAAGCAGTCGTCGTTTCCTGGCACGGTGCTGTGGCTCCAGTGAATCGTGTTTATTTAATTTAGTTTTCACCTGTAGTCCTCTCATCAGTGTGGAATTGTCTTCCTGCTCCTCAGCGAGGACCTGGGTCAGGAAGGCAGGGCCCGTCGTGTGAGCGCAGCTGGCGATCGCAGCCTGTGAGGGTCGTGTCAGCACTGCTGGGGCTGTTGGTGTTGCACGTTTTCTGTCTGCCCCGCTATTCGGAGAGATGCTTGTGACGGATCGGCATTGTGTGCTGCTCATCTGGACGTTCAGCCCCTGGTCTCTAGCTTTTTGTTCCGGCAGAGGTGCAGCATCTGGGTTTGTGGCACACCTGATCCTCCCTCCTCCCCCTCCCATCCCTGGGCAGCGCCCTGCTGCTGGGTGTCGGGCCCTTTGGCTCTCCTCCGCCTCAGGCCCTGCCTGTCCTCCCGACTCGGGCTGCTGGCCTCCCTCCCGGCCCCTCCCCCAGTGCCTCCTGGCGGCTTGCTGTGGCTGCGGGCTCGCCTGGCTTCTCTGCTTGTGTCCGACTGCACTCGCGTTGCCAGAGGACTTGAACTCCAGGCGCCCACTGTCCGCTTCTAATTGGCTGTGGTTTCTGCTGTGTCCAGTCTGGGTGCTCCGCCCCGACCCAGGCCTTCCCCGCCGCGTCCCCTGGCCCCTAGTGAGTCCCTGCTCTCTTCCCACAGAGCCCCAGTGGGATGGCCCTCCTGGGCCAGGGGAACTCCCGCTGCCCTCTTTTTTAAAACATTAATTTTAAGTTGACAAAACATGTTTATACTTATTTGGCACATGTTTTTAAATTTAATTTACAATTGACAAAACCTGCATACTTCCACCTCACTTCTTCCACCTGGCTCTCTGCGTCCTCGAGCCCTGGCCTCTGTGGCCGGATCTTTTGCACACCGGAGCCAGCCTGTCTTTGTCTGCCACTCGGCCCTTCCCTCTCAGAACTCTCTGACCTGGAAGGCACTCTGGCCTAATTAATCCAGTGTTGTTGGCCTCACGGCCCGCAGTTCCAAGGTGGTCAGGAGGACGAGCAAGATGTGGTCTCTGCTCTCGGAGTCCACAGGACCGCAGGAACAGCATGGGGACAGGGCGGAGGGGCTGCTGTGGATTGCCCGAAGTTCTGTGGAAGATCCCGGGGTGGGAGGGCCCTGCAGGGCCATCAGATAAGGCCCTGGAGAGGACAGTGGGGACCTGGGGGATGAGTTGAGTTGTGAGGTGAGCGTGCGGCACCCCGGGCTGCAGGATGAGAGGAAGTGGAGGCAGATGAGAGGGCGTGTGCAGGCGTGTTTCAGGCTGTGGGGCTGAGCAGGGATGTAGGGTGTGCACGTTTCCTGTGTGTCCTCTGTTCTGGGCTCCGGGACATACCACCAGCTCAGGGGCAGTGTCTGTGTCTGCGCGTGTGCACACAGGGGTGTGGGGACTCAAAACATGACACTTGGGTGTGGGCTGTAAGATGTGTTCTGACTCTGAAAGGGTTAAAATGTGAAGCAAGAGGAGTGTCTCGGATTTGAGGAGGAGATGCACGTGCATGCAGGGATGGGGGGACTTGGACATCCTCCCGAGGGAGATGCAGCCACGAGAGATGGGGACGAGGGAGGGAGACATCTAACAGGCCTGCTTTTGAGGCGTGACGCCGGAGTGCCAAGGGAGGGAGGCCAGGCAGTGCTGGGGGCGGCGCTCAGCCAGGGGCAGGGGTCTGAGCTGCCTCCGGATTCAGAAGAGACAGATACGGAGGCATGGGACACACGTGGTCAGTTGTGGGGCCCTGGGCTGACAGGCACCGGTGGGAGCTGGCTGGCCTGGGGCAAGGCTGGGGGAGGTTGCTCTGGTGGTTGGGACTTACCCCCCTTATCTCAGCACTTAGAAGTGTGCTTGGCCTTGGCTTCATTTCATAACACACTCTATTTGATACCGGGCATGAGGGCTGTGCATCTGAGAAGTCTGGGGAGGTTTTTATGTACCAGGCTGCAGGTTTCCCCATGGGTTCCCAGTCAGCTGGCTGTTTTGGCCAGCCTGGGTATTGAGGGTGCTTTCAAGGCTTGTGGCTTTGTGCTCAGTGGAGTGGAACTAGCCCGAGCCACCTTATGTTTCAGGCAGAGTGGCAGACACGTGCCGGCGGGGAGCATGCCTGCCAAGGCTGCAGGTGCACCTGGGACCTGTCACCAGGTGGCTGCAGGCTTGCCTCCCATTCTCCTTGGGAACCGCCTGTTCCGCCTGACATCAAGGATCTAGGAGCCTTCAGGAGGCGTCTGTAGAATGCATGCATGTGTTGAATGCATGGGAATGGGGGTGCTGGAGTTGAGGAGGCAGGACAGCCCAGTGGGCAGTGAGCCTACCCTTGGGTCACGCAAATCAGGCTTGACTGTGGCCTCTGTACCTTGTGAGCCAGGTGACCTTGCCAGTGCTGCTGAGTGGTCCCACTCTCAGAGCCTTGGCTTCCCCATCTGTGCAATGAGACAGTTGCATGGTTGCGTTTAGTGAGATCTTGATGGAGATCCCTGCTCCCACACTGGTCACCCCCAGGAGTGACATTAGAGCAGAGCAGGCCAGCAGCAAACAGTGAGATGACTCCTGATGGTGGACGTGTTCAGAAGGACACTGATGAGGGAGGTACTATCGGATCTGGTGCTCAGGGAGGGCTGCCTTGTGGAGACGGCAATGCTGCCAGGAGCTCAGTGCTGAGAGGTGCCGGCGTGGGAGGTTCAAGGGCAGAGTGTCATAGGCAAGTGCTGTGGCCCAGAGGCAGGCATGTGCCGGGCTCTTGTGGGGACCAGGAGAGAGGCCATGTGGGTGGAACAGCGGGTGAGAAGGAGATGAGGCGGGATGCAGGGCCTACCCTATGTGGGCCTGCTGCGGGGAGTGGGCACGGTGTGCACTTGTGTCTAGCATGGCGTGGGTGTGCTGGGATCCCCTGGAAGCCACCTGTGTGCTCTGTACAGGTTTGAGGGTGCATCACGGTGCTGGGGGTCTATATTGCCATGGCCTCGTGCTGACCCTGTCCCCGCCTCTCTCTCCTTCCAGTGCACCGTCCAGGTGAAGTTAGAGCTTGGGCACCGTGCCCAGCTGCGCAAGAAGCCCACCACAGAGGGGTTCACCCACGACTGGATGGTGTTTGTCCGTGGCCCCGAGCAGTGTGAGATTCAGCACTTCGTGGAGAAGGTGGTCTTCTGGCTGCACGACAGCTTCCCCAAGCCCAGACGTGGTGAGTGGTCCCCACAGCCTGGGCCATCTGACTTCACGCTTCCCTGACCAGCAGGCCCCCCCTGCCTGGAGGGTCTGGCCCTGTCCCTTTGTGTGAAGGTGATGGAGCCACTTCTCCAGCTGCGGAGTTGGTTGTAGGAAAATTGACAGGAGGGGGTTGGAGGATGGCCTTACCCAGCCAGTGCATAACCCAGAAGTTGCCTGCGAGATCCTGTTTGATGAGGGGTGTCAATTTTAGAATTCTAATATTTGGGGTGGGAAGAGCAGAAGGCGCTCACGTCACCACCGTCTTGTCCCTTGCATGTCTCCCTCCCTGCTTCAGACCTCGGGCGGCTGTTGGTGAAGCACAGGTGCCTCGGTGGTGTCCTCCCCAGTCTCGTCTGTGGCCTGGTGGCCCCGGCCTTCCTGGGGGATGCGGTCTGGTGGAGCAGAGAGGCGGGAGCTCACCAGTCATCCTCAGAGCCAGTTTCCTGGGGAAGGCCAGGGTGGGGAGTAGGAGTCTGAGGGTGGTCTTGTAAGCTCTGTAGGGGCTGGGCCAGGTCTAGCTTGGTGACCACTGAGTCCCTAGTGTGAAGCCCAGGGCTTGGCACCTCTTGAACGGACGTGTTGATAAAAGAGTGAGGGGCTTTTCTGTAGGGAAGCACTTCAGGCAAGAAGAGTGACTGCCAGGCTGGTGACCCCTCTGCCCAGCAGTTGAGGGGCGCAGAGGGTCCCAGGGGTTCTGGGAGCCAAGCCGCACGTCGGCTGAAGCAGGAGCTTCCTGGACCTGGGACTCCTGGCCTGTGCCTGCCTGCAGAAGGCTTCCAGCTTAGTGGCGGGCGTGACAGTGACTTGTGGTCCTGGAAGGATGTGCACTGCGATGCCTAGTGATGCGGAAGCCATCTCTGCCTCTCCTGGTTTCCTCCATCAGCCTCCGGCCAGTCCTTTTCCTTCTCATTCCTCCTCCCAAGTCCTCTCCTTCTCCCTCATCCATCCTTCCTTCTGTTCCATGCCTCCTTCGGAGCCTCCTGGAGCCCCTCCTGATCATGAGGAACCTGCCCTCTATTGAGCATCTCCTGCTGAGCTCTTTTCATGTGCAGGGTGGCCACAGTCCCCTTTTAGATGGGGACACAGGCTTGGAGGGGCAGGCCAGCTGCCTGTGCTTTATTTTTTTTTATTTAATTTTTGAGTTGGAGTCTCACTCTGTCACCCAGACTGGAGTGCAGTGGCCGCTCCCGGCCACCGCAGCCTCGACCTGCTGGGCTCCGGCGATCCTTCCGCCTCAGCCTTCCAAGTAGCTGGAACTACAGGTGTGCGCTACCATGCCCGGCTAATTTTTGATTTATTGTAGAGACGAGGTCTTGCCAAGTTGCCCAGGTGGGTCTTGAATCCGCGGACTCAGGCAATCCACTCGCCTTGGCCTCCCAAAGTGCTGGGATTACAGGCTGAGTTACCGAGCCTGGCCTGCCTCTGCTTTAAAGTGGGGCTTGGCAAGCTGGCCTGTGGGCGGTGCAGTGGCCGCTGCTTGTTTTTGCAGGTGCAGGGCCATGTCGGTCTGCATAGGTGTCACCTGCGGTTGGTTTTGCACTAGTGGCAGAGCAGAAACGTGGCTGCCTCCTTCTGGGCCGGACCCCTTTCGCTTTCTCTAGCAGCATCCAGAGTTCATCTCCCACACCCATTTGCTCCCCCTTCTCTCTGTCCCCCAAGCACAGGGGTGGCCCGGGACACTGATTGCCACCCACTTTGGGGTTTTTTTGTTTTTGTGTTTTTTAGAGACGCGCTCTGTCACTCAGGCTGGAGTGCGGTGGTGTGATCATAGCTCACTGCAGCCTCAAGCTCTTGTGCTCAAGTGATCCTCCTGCCTCAGCCTTCCTGTCCCAGCCTTCCCAGTTGCTGGGACTACAGGCATGTACCCCTCGCTGGCTTCAGTTGTCAGTTTGCTGGGAAATCTTTTAACGGATGGCTGAATCCTGTTTGCTACAAAGTCTGTCTGTGTACTCAGGCAGCAGCAGCAGCATCATATGTGTCAAAGAGTAAATACCCACTTCCCTGTTGGTTACATTGAATAAAACCCTGTAGGACTTGGAGAGCAGCTAACTTCCTGGAGGACTCCAGCCTGGAAGTGATACTTGATGTACTTAAAAAGTCTCTCTTACATCAGATACATGTACATTATCACAAGTCAAACAGCACAGAAACACGTAAGGTACAAAGTTGCCACTCCTCTCTCCTCCCCCGTCCTGCTGCCCAGGGGCATTCTTTCTTCACTTCAGCTCATTTGCTTATTTCTTGACTTTTCAAATGTAAACAGTGTTTATTGATTTACCAGCTGCCCTTTTTTCCTACCGTCTTCTCTAAGATTTTTATAGTCTACTGACTCAATTTGGCATTGGTTGTCGTTGTGACTTTGAATGATGATGATGTGAGCCTGTTTACTTTTGGGCTCCTTCACAGGAGAGTCCCATGTCACCTTTTTAGGGAGTCCTCTGGCTGCCAGGTTTAAATTGTGGTTTCTTTGTCCAATACACCTACACAGCCACATGCTTCTTAGCCTTTTTTCTGGTTTATTTTTTCTCCTCAGCACCATCTTAGCATATTATGTATATTCGTTACTAATCTTGTCCATCTCCCTCCCCAGGTAAAAGATTTGTGTCTGTTTTGTTTGCTGCTACATCCTTGGTGCCTGAAAGTATACAGTAGGTGCTTACTAAGAGCTTATTGAATGAATGAATGGATTCTTCCACTCTGTCAGCTTTTGTCAGTGTCTTCCCACTCTCTGCTGAGGACAGTAAGGACATGAGTACCCCTTTCTTTCCCTGACCCTGCTACATCCCTCCTTTTGAGAGCTACATTTGATATTAATCTTGTTGAACCAAACACAAGACCTTCACTCCCCGATTGTAAATGAACTCTAGCGGGTGGAAACTAGCAAACGGCGTTGACTTCATTGACTCTCGCTGCCCCTGTCAGGCTGGTTGGGATGCCCGGGACATCATTTGGCCTCTGTGCGTCTCGTGTCCTGACGACTGGGCCACTCTGAGGAGAGGGCTCAGTGTCCATATGAGATGGGCCCTTTATGATCTCTTTTGGTTGAAATTTGGCCCTGCTTGTGTATTTCATGTCTGGCCTGGGAGTACTCTTTTGCGTCTCCTCTTTGCATTGTGTCTTCACCATCTGTACATTTCCCATCCATTTTTTCGATCATTTCATCTATTCTGTGGAGGTTTTTTTGTGTGTTTCTTTTTTTGGGACAGGGTCTCACTGTGCTGCCCAGGCTGGAGTGCAGTTGCTACTCATAGGCATGATCATAGCTCCCTGAAGCCTTGAACTCCTAGACTCAAGGGAGCCTCCTGCCTCAGCCTTCCTGCAGCTGGGACTACAAGCACCACGACCACACCGGACTCACTTTTAAAATTTCTTCGTAGAGAGGGGTTCTTCTTATATTGTCCAGGCTGGTCCTGAGCTCCTGGCCTCAAGTGATCCTCCTGCCTCCACACCTGGCCTCTCTTTCTGTACAACTCTTAACTATTCTGGTTCTCTGTCTTCCTTCTCCAGTCACTCTTCCTAAGTCACCTCATTACCCATCACCTAGGGCCTTTTCTCTGCTGTTCTCCTGGGGGAATTCATTTATTGCCCTGTGTTTTGGGTTATTTTCTAATTTTGCTACAACAGTTTCTCAAGCAATATCCCAAGAGATTAATTACTCAAGAAGTTTACTAAGAAGATGTGTGAGCAGTCGACACTGAGCCTTGGAATATTTGAAAATGCCATGAGGCCAGATGCCGTGGCTCACACCTGTAATCTCAACACTTTGGGAGACTGAGGCGGGTGCGTTACTTGAGCCCAGGAGTTCGAGACCAGCCTGGGCAACAAAGTGAGACTTTGTCTCTTAAAAAAAACTTATCCATGCATGGTGGCATGCACCTGTATGTCATCCCAGCTTCTCCAGAGGATGAGGCAGGAGGATCACTTGAGCCCAGGAGTTCGAGGCTGCAGTGAGTCATGATCATGCCACTGCACTGCAGCCTGGGTGACGGAGTGAGACCCTGTCTCGGAGAAAAAAAAAAAAAGGAAAAGGAAAATGCCATTATTCTCTTCTTGCAATTGAATAATCATTTGGTTGGGTCTGATTTTCTGATTTAAGAATTACAGGTTGAGTAGCCCCAATCTGAAAAAATCAGAAATCTGAAATACTCCAAAATCTTAAACTTTTGGGTGCCAACATGATGCCCACTGGAACATTTTGGATTTTTATATTAAGGGTGCTGACCCAGAAGAATGCAAATATTCCAAAGTCTGAGAAAATTCCAAATCTGAGACTCTTCTGGTGCCAGGCATTTTGGATGAGGGACCCTTAGCCTGTGCTGCTACTGAGGGCTGTGAGAGTGTTGCTTCATTGTCTTCTAAAAGGTCTGATACCGTTGGGTCTGCTTTCCATCTCACATGACCTGTGCTTTTTCTCTCGAAGCATCTAGGATGACTTTAGGACATTGCTCTACGCCATGGGATTCTGTGGTTTCTGTCGTTCGTCATGTCATCGTGTCTGTGATGTTTGGCTCCTTCATTTCAGGCCTGAGAGTTTCCTTTCTTTTGTTGGCAGTTTCCTTCCATCTGTTTATTTTCTGGGATGCTTATTACTTTTCTATGCCGAAGTCTTTTTATCTGTGACATGAAGATAATTGTATCTGTCACGTAAGATAAAGACTGAAGGAGCAACGATGAGCCCTGTGCTGGATACACAGTCAGTGTCTGGGAATGGCAGCTGCCATAGCATATGTGTAATCTGCGGAATCAGTTTTCAGATCTCACCTTTTTTTAAAAAAAATACTGGCTGGGTGTGGTGGCTCATGCCTGTAATCCCAGCACTCTGGGAGGCCTAGGCAGGAGGATCGCTTGAGCCCAGGAGTTTAAGACCAGCCTAGGGAACATAGCAAGACTTCATCTCTACTGCCCGCCAAAAAAAGTCGTGGTGGCTTAAGCCTGTAGTCCCAGCTACTTGGGAGGCTGAGGTGGAAGGATCGC